ACAACACACCCATACATTACAATTGTTTTACACCCTCACACACAACACACCTTTACATTTCAGTGGTATTACAACGCTCACACACAACACACGACACTTTTACAGTGCCATTACACCCTCACACACAACCACGACACATTACAGTGCCATTACTCCCTCACACACAACACACCATACATTACAGTGGTATTACACCCTCACACACAACACACCACACATTACAGTGGTATTACACCCTCACACACAACACACCACACATTACAGTGGTATTACACCCTCACACACAACACACCTTACATTACAGTGCCATTACACCTCACACACAACACACCATACATTACAGTGGTATTACTCCCTCACACACAACACACCACACATTACAGTGGTATTACACCCTCGTACACAACACACCATACATTACAGTTGTATTACACCCTCACACACAACACACCTCACATTACAGTGGTATTACACCCTCGTACACAACACACCATACATTACAGTGGTATTACGCCCTCACACACAACACACCACACATTACAGTGGTAATACACCCTCACACGCAACACACCATTCATTACAGTGGTATTACACTCTCACTCACAACACACCATTCGACACCCATTATTATACAAATAGTATTATTACCGTTTGTGACTTAAAATTTTGTCACGTCGTCCCCCCCACCCACATGCACTCCAAAATAAACATCCTGAATTATCATTAAGCAAGAAGCATATTAATAGGTCTTACAAGAACTGGTGATACAGGAAAACCAAATCACAAAACCATACGAATAGTGTATTATTGACATATTTGAGAACATGTCATAACTAAACACAGTGACACCTCGACCAGGTCGAATAAATACATTGCAAGTGGTTAATGTCACTAAGAACATTGTAACAATGAAGTTCAACAGAGCTCAAAGGCTTCCTATGTACATGTTTATTTATCAGTTAAACCCTAACATTACCACATAATACGTAAAACTGAACTTGGTCAAAATAATCATCAGTATAGAAAGCTTCTATAACACATGAACAATTGACAGTTTCTCTTTTTATAACGGACCCATTACGTCCCACCTTTAAGCGGATAAATCTTCCACCGTTACAAGAATGAATATATATGGTTTATTGCTTGAATAACAATATTTAACCTCAATCTCTAACCTGAAGGTGCATATCTTAACATGATATATAATGATGAAACAAAATTAATTATTTAAGCTTTGGAGAAACTGTAACATTAAAGACACAAAAGATATCAATAACAATATTGACAAAAAGCCTACATGACATTCCTTAACACAGTGAGACCTAGACCAGGTTTAAGAAATTACACTTCAAGTGATGAAATTCGTGAACATTGTAACACAACATTCCACCAAAATACATCTCATGCACCACATGTACATACACATTTTTAACGATACGCTATTCTGTCTCACTTGCCACACAATCTTAAACTCACATATTACAACCATTCATCCCCTAGGAGGCGACCCCGTTTCTACCCCTGATTTCCCTTCCCACAGAAGCATCTACCATCTCGCCTCTGCACCTCCCTCCTGATACAAATCTAATAAAACCCCTAACATAAGCTCTCTATAACCCTCTGAAAAAGCCCCTCTCCCACCTCCTCCCATAAATTTCCCTGTTACGACATAATGCTCAATGCAAAGTAACCTCTAAAACCCGCCTCCTTTACCTAAATCCCCCTTTCCCCCTTCCCCACATTTATATATATATTATATATAATTTTAATAAAATATATATAATTTTTTTTTTTTTTTTTTTTTCTCCCATGATGTACCCACAACCCCAATGATACCCCATCCAATCCTTCCTGTCAAACCCTAACACTCCAAACAGAAACCCCTTTACCCCAATCCAAGGGATCACCCTACCCTATGCAACCAAAACCCTTTACCCCCTCCCACCCCCTCGCAAAAATTACACATAAACATACATTCCCACCTCCACAATTACCCCCCTCAACCACCCGCCCTATCCCGTAAACCACACTCGACGGCAAAATGCCATGCAAAAACCGAACATCCCCCTCTCTCGTCAGGTTGTAACCTCAATTTACAAAACCTACCCATTTTTAATCCCCCATACTACACCGAAACGTCGTCGTAACTTCCTCTTTTTGTGGGTTTTTTTTTGTGATCGTTCTGTCAGGTATTGGCCTTTTTTTGTTAGCCCCTCAACACTCCATTTTCCCCCCTTGTTATTACCCGCCCAATGCCTCCCCTTTTAGTGCTCGCCCCCAATGCTACACACACTCACACACCTCCCTTAAACCCCACCCCCACCCCCCCCACATTGCCAAAACCCCTCATGCATTTGCTCGCATACACACAATTCCATTCGTGGCCCCTAACACCCGCCCCCCCCTATAACCCCCTTAACCCACCGTGTACTCCAACAATGAAAGCAGTTTCCAGCTCCGTTCTTCTGTCATGCAAGATCATGCAAATGGCCTGTCATCCCATAAACCCCCCCCACCCCCGCCTTACCTCACTCTTGAAACCTTCATCCTGTAACTCGCGCAGTTCACCTTAATACAATAAAGACATTTTAAAAGGGGAATTTCCCCCCCACCTCCCTCTCGCATAAAAAAACCCCCTTCCTATCCTCCAAATATTGGCTATCCATGCTTCAAGTTAGTGACCTTTTTTCTCTCTCCCATAATGTTGCTTAATCTTTTTTCCTTAGCCACCAAAACCCCCAGTCACCAATCCCCACCCCATTTGCTTCCCCAAAAATCCTCCCCCTGTTTCAAAAATCCTCCAACCCCCCCTCGTACCAACACGTTGTGTTTAACTTCCAGTAAAACCCCTGTAGATCTCTGCAGTGGTAAACCATAAGAAAAAAAACTAACCCACACACAAAACCCTTTTTCACTTTCAATCATTTTCTGCAGGTGCATACCTCTTACAAAAACACCCTCTTCCCCCCACTACCCATCCACATGCAGCACCCTCCCCCTCCCTCCCCACTTTTTAAAAAAAACGGCTCCCTCCTTTATCTGGGACCAAAAACCTCCTTTCCATGGGCAGATGGCGAGTCACCCCCTGAAACCCGCAACTTCCAAAACTCTACCCCCCAAAAAAATTTTCTCCTGGGGAAAAAAACTCCCCCCTCAATTATTCAAAAACATTTTAAAAACCATCTCTCTTTAACTATTACACAAACCATTCACATTACGTCATACACCTGAACCGCTTAAAGCTTCCAACCCTGCCTCTTTTTCCCCCATTTTTCCCAGGGGCCCCCTGTACCTGGCCACCTTTTTCTTCACACCACCTTCCCCCCCTCCCCCTTCTTTCGGGACCACTTTTCAGGCCCCACCACAATTCCCTGCCTGCCTCTCAGGCCTTTGTGCCGGCGTCAGCACATCATCTGAATCTGACGCCGCCACTCTCTTCCTCATGTGGATCTCCTCCCTCATGTCATTGTCCAAGGAAGCCTCACAATGAACCTCCACCTCCACCATACATTGTTCCACTAAACATGGTGACATTTCTCACTCACTGCTGGGCTCGTCTTCAAGCGTCAGCACTGCCTCCTGTACGTGCACCTCTGCACTTGCCTCCGTCAAAGTCGTGGGTCCAGGTAAGTCCCGGCATGCCCCACTCACACCAGTCTCAACGATGGGCTTTTCCACCACCTCACTCCACAAACGACAGCGCCCTTGCTAGTGCCTTGAACCCTCAACGACTAAATCCAACACGGGAACAGGTGCCTCACCAGTCTGTGCAGGCACCCGCCTCTGCTTCACACACATTGCCACCATATGATCATATGCCCTACACAGGCGGCAGGTACGTCGCTGCCCGGTGTACGACACTAGAACCTGTCTTGAAATCCTCCAAAACAACATAGGACGGTTTGAGATGCCGCAGACTTATCTTCAGGGAAAATGCTCCCTCCAGTCGGCCCACATAAGAACCTCTGCCCGTTTGCCTTGTGCTAAATGTACGGTTCCATAAGCCTCAAAAACACTCCTTATGCCTGCTTCATCAGCCTCAAATGGTACATTACGGATCTTGACCCATGTGAAGTGCCGTGAGACGTCAATCAATCTCTTACAGCCGGTGAAAAGTACTGAGTCCTCAATGGCTCATACACAGATGTTGAATTCAATTTCATGAAAATCCTGTACACTCCATTCAGGGCTACACCATACACCTCTTCGTCCAGGATTCCATGTCTCCCTTATGATGGCTGGGAGTAACACTTGTGCAGATGCAGGCGAAATTGCCCCATGGATCAGCTCGATCCCAACAGTATTCACACGACGCTTCATACTGAGCACCATGTTACTACTAGGTGGCTCGCCTGAATGAACAGCAGAGGGGTGCAGAGCACAACCACATTCTACCGCAGTCAGGCAGCGAATGTTACCTGAGTCATTGTGTATTTAGTCCATCCTTATAACCACAATCATGACATTGTTATTAAAATAATCAACTGGATGACTATTGATGGAGTCTTGAACAGTTGAAATGTGAATGTTTTTACATCAGCCATGTTCAGTTGGTGCTCCTTTTCCAGTACTTCATTAAAATCACAGACATCATTTTAATATTGTAAAAACAGTCAAATGGCTGACATATGGGCTTCTTAAAGGGTAGTAATCTGACTGTATTTCTTTATCCATGAGCAGTGGTTGCTTGGCTTATGTTTGCTTCCCATGGTTTTTGTCACTTTTATATTTTATTTCTTAATCTAATCATATGTGAAGAAGTGACTTAGTTAACAGGGGGATGCATTGGTGACCTGCACTTAGCTGAGTGTTGACCTGTACCTAGCTCTGAGAAGAATTGTCTTGTATGCTCTCTGTGAATCTGAACCAAGATGTCCTTTCTTGAGGAACTCTACCAGCAGCTAAAAGAGGAGCTTAGGGTTGCTAAGCTCGAGATACGGCAATTGTCAGAGGAAAACAAGAAGATTCGTAGTAATCCTCCTGTTGTAAGTCTTCAGGTCAAGAGGGGAACCTGGCCAGTGGCCGGGCAACATGGAATGAAGCTGAAAATCAAGAAAACTGTTGGAGTGGTTGAAACAACAAAAAAACAGAAGATTACTGTGGAAACTTCCAGCCCAGTTTGGTGCTACCTGACAAATGTGGGTTGTCTACTGGGAACATCACAACGAGCACCAAGGAAACATTGGCACACGAGAGTGAGTGGACATCCTTTGAAACCCCAACGAAGACCATCAAGAACGTTGTGACGATCTCCGTCAGTGAAGGTAAGAATTGTTTTAGTTGGGGACAGTCAGGTTAAATTTATGGATAGGGCTTTTTGTCTTAGGGATGGAAAGAGGAGACAGTGGGTATGTTTTCCAGGGGCTGGGATGGGGGATATTGTTAGCCATCTAGATATCATGAAAGGTAAAAGGAGCTATCCTATTATCTGCCTCAATAAGGGAGGCAAGGATGTTGGCAGACGTAGGAGTAAAGACCTGATTAGCAGGCATAAGACAGCAGTATAGATAATTAGGAGGAAGGGTGGGAACCCTGTGATATGTGGCATTTTGCCCAGGAGAGGAGTTGGAAATGAATGGTTGTCCATGGCAATTGGTGTCAATTGCTGGCTGGACAAACACTAAGGAAAATTCAGTAACATTCATAGACCTCTTCCATGGTAGAAATGACATGTATGCCAGGGATGGAGTTCACTTATCTAGGTTTGGGGTGGGAGCACTGGCCAACGCAGTGGAGGGGGCTGTTAGGTCTTTAAACTAGAAATAGATAGTGGTATGGGTTTTTGAGGTAAATCAATGAATTCTCAGTGTAGCGATAGTGTGAGTTTTAGGGAAACTACTAATAGGAAGAATGAGGCAGAGTAATTGGAGAATATTGGAAACTTAGTGACACTAGATGACAAGAACAGTAACAGGTAAAGAGGAGGAACAGAAATCAGCAAGAAGAGAAAAGACAAGGGAGGTTTTCTAAAGATATTCTTTACTAATACGCGTAGTGCGAGAAATAAGATGGATGAATTGAGATTAGTTGCAAGTGTGGGTAACACTGATGTTTTTGTCATAAATGAGAACTGGTTTAATATGAAAAATTGGGACCTACCTGCTGAAAGTCACATTCAGGATTTTAAATTATTTCAAGTAGATAGAAGTATCGGTAAGGGGCGTGGGGTGGCACTCTATGTCCGAGATCATTTAAATTGTTGCATAAAAACAGTTATTAAGTCATAAAAAACACAGAGTCTGTCTGAATAGAATTTTCAGAGGGGTTTGAGAAATTGATTTTAGGTGTGATATACCGTCCCCCAAACTTGGATAGGGACCAAGGGAGACTAATCTTGGAGGAAACTGTTAAGGCCACAAGGCACGAAAACGTAGTAATTCTAGGTGACTTTAACTGTAGTCATATTTATTGAAATTTTTTGACTGGGAATTTAGAATCTAACGACTTTTTAGAAGTAGTTCAGGATTATTTTTTGAATCAGTTTGTTACAGAACCTACAAGGGGAAATAACCTGCTTGACTTAATTTTGTCAAACAAGAAAACCCTTTTTAATAATTTAGAAATTAAAGACGAACTTGGCACAAGCGACCACAAATCAATTACCTTTAGCATTGAATGGAAGTATGATAGTAGGAACAACTCAGTAATGGTCCCAAATTTTCGTTTAGCAGATTACAGTGAGCTTAGAGAAAACTTATCATCTGTTGACTGGGGTAACGAAGAGAGCTATCAATATGACAGCTTTCTAAACATTAAACATTCTGCCAAAAGAATGTTTATCGCGTATAAAGAAATTAGATCAAATAGAAATGACCCCAAATGGATGAGCAATAGGCTCAAATATCTTTTAAGACAAAAGAAAGAAATTTATAGGTGCATCAAAAGAGGTGAGGGTCATCTTATGAATCAATATATTGATATTAAGAGGGACGTTAAAAGGGGAATAAGAAAAGATAAACGGGACTACGAAATTAAAGTTGCTAGGGATTCGAAAACTAACCCAAAAGTTTTTTTCCAGATTTATAGAACAAAAGTTAGAGATAATATAGGTCCCCTTAAAAATAACTTTGGGCATCTTACTGACAAGGAGAATGAAATGTGCTCAATTTTTAATAATTATTTTCTCTCGGTTTTTACACAGGACGACACTAACAATATCCCAGTAATTAATTTTTATGAATTATGTAATATCAGAGTCACTAGCGAAATGGTTATGAAACAATATACCGACTGAAACAAAATAAATCGCTGGGTCCTGATGAGCTTTTTTCAAGGGTTCTTAAGGAATGCAAAATGGAACTCTGTGAACTATTAATTAATATTTTTAATTTATCTCTTCAGATAGGTGTAGTGTCTGATATGTGGAAGATGGCTAATGTTAGTCCTATTTTGAAAGCAGGGGACAAGTTGTTACCGTCAAATTACCGCCCAATAAGCCTAACCTCAATTGTAGGAAAATTACTAGAGTCAATTATAGCTGGTATTATAAGATGTCATCTGGATAAGCATAATTTAATTAATGATACACAGCATGGATTCACGAGGGGCCGTTCCTGCCTAACTAATTTATTAACCTTCTTCAGTAAGCTTTTGAAGCTGTTGATCATGATAAAGAATTCGATATTGTTTAGATTTTAGTAAGGCTTTTGATAGAGTACCGCACCAGAGACTGATAAAGAAAGTGGCAGCTCACGGCATTGGAGGAATAGTGCTGTCGTGGATCGAGTTATGGCTCACCAATACGAAGTAGACAGTGTGCTTAAATGTGGGTAAATCCGAGTGGGGATCTGTAACAAGTGATGTTCCACAGGGATCAGTCTTTGGCCCGTTGTTGTTTATAATATATACATATAAATGACCTTGATGAGGGAATTACAAGTGATATGAGCAAATTCGCCGATGACACGAAGATAGGTAGGATAGTTGATTCAAACAAAGATGTTATGGAACTTCAGGATGATTTAGACAAACTCAATTCATGGTCAGAAAAGTGGCAGATGCAGTTCAATGTAGATAAATGCAAGGTTCTGAAGCTCGGGAGTGTCTGTAACACTAGCACATGTAAGTTAAATAACGTAGAACTCAGTCATACAGATTGCCATAAGGACTTGGGGTTATGGTAAGCAGCAACCTAAATCAAGACAGCAATACCTACGAGTATGTACTAAGGGAAACACAATACTGGGATTTATATTAAGAAGTGTAAGCAGAAGTCCAGAGGTTATACTACAGGTTTATACATCATTAGTAAGGCCTCACCTAGATTACGCAGCTCGATTCTGGTCTCCATATTACATAATGGATAAAAATTTGTTAGAAAACATTCAGCAAAGAATGACAAAATTAATTCATAGCATAAGAAATCTTCCGTATAAGAAATATTGAAGTCCTTGAAATTACATTCACTTGTAAGACGAAGAATTAGGGGAGACATGATCGAAGTGTACAAGTGGTAGATGGGAATTAACAAAGGGGATGTAAATAAGATCTTGAAGATATCTCTCCAAGAAAGAACCCGCAATAATGGATTCAAATTAGATAAGTTTACATGTAGAAAGCATATAGGAAAATATTTGTTTGGAAATAGGGTAGTTGATGAGTGGAACACTCTGCCTAGTAGGGTTATTGAAGCTAAAACGTTGGGTAGTTTCAAATTTAGGTTAGATAAATACATGAGTGAGAGGGATCAGATTTGAGTAAATAAAATCATCAAAACTTATTTCTTGTATAGCATTGAAAATTAGGTTTCCAAATATTTTGTTAATGAGAAGGATTGCAAAGGACCCGCCTAGTATGGGCCAACAGGCCTGCCGCAGTGTTCCTTCTTTATGTTCTTATGATCTTATGGTTCAGGATTGCTTTCTAAAACAGTTGATGACATAACAAATTAGAGGAA